GCCGCCAGGACACCGCGGTGACCCGGAAGCGGCCGTGGGGCACCATGGGATCTGTAGTCCCCGCCCCTCCCCGCCACTCTGCTGCGGAGCCTCGGGAAGGCGGCGCGATGACCCTGCCCACCACTGCTGCCAGCCCTCTGCTCCTCCCTGATGGGTCCGACCGCCCAGAGGTCCCTCCAGCCTGCATATCCAGGCCCGTGTCCCACCAGCCCCCCGAGCAGGGAAAGGTCTCTGGGTGAGAGAGGGAGGGGACGAAGGAGAGAACTCAGGCAAGTTTCGGGAATCTCACGGCTTTATTGGACGGCGGCGGGGCGCGGCGCTCCGGCTGCGCTCTGCAGATGGAGAGGGGCGGTCACGCCAGGGGACGCGCTGGTCACGTGACCGCCTAGCCTCTGTCCCCACCTGGCCTGCTAGAGCACGTTACCGCTTCCACGTACCTGGGACGCGAACCTGCTTCCCACAGGAGCTCAAGGACCTAGCGTGGGGACTTTTAGCTCAGAGACATAGGCCCTCGTCCACCCTAAGCAACCTGATAGGTGAAAGCCAGTGCTCACGCCATTCGGCAGAAAGGCTTCGCCTCATGGAATTTACACTTTCTCCTTTATCGCACCGCCCTGGTGCGATATGTTCGATTTGCAAAATGGGCCTGCCCACCCTGAGATACACTGGCTTGACTGTCAAGAAGTCCGGAAGTTTTTAGTACAATGATCTCCTGTGCCACTAGTGACTTCTGATCTCTTACATTTCCCTTGTGCATTGCCTAGAATTCTCTTGGGACATAGGAAGGCTAGCAGATGGCCCTGCTCTGTGCGGCAGAGCAGGGGTGCTGCGACAGGGGGCATCCTCCCTCCACCTCCAGCTCCAGCTCTGAGCAATAAAGGCCACTGGTGAGGAGTGGCTAGTCTGAATGTTGGGGCCTCCCTCCCCACTCACCAGCAGTGTCCGCATCAGGTGCTGCTTCCTGCGGAGAGACCATCCTGCTGTGGTCCTGCCCTCCCAGGGCACACTGTCCTCGGGGGAAGCCAGAGCAGCGCTTCGGAAGCTATGAGCAGTCTGGGCTGCGCTGGGGGCTGCAGGACCCAGGACCCTTCCTCAGACCAGAACAGAGGTTGCACCCTGACCTTCCTACCCCCTCCCGAGCAGCGCCTTTTCCTTCTGCTCAGACTGGGGAGACCTATTACCCACCTGGGGGCCTAAGGGCACTTTGAGGGTCCTGGGGTGAGTTGGAGGCTCGCTTTCCTCCAGGGTACCAGCCGTGGGACCAATGCTGGGCCTCCGAGGGTCCAGGGTGGGCAGCCATCAGCAGCAGCAGCAGGAGGAGGAAGCCCAGCATGGAACTGGCCATGGCAGGACTGCTTTCATAGAGAGTAGACAGAGCTCAGAGGCTGACACTCCCCCACGTGCTCGCTTTCTCTTCTGCAGGGTCACCTCAGGGACCACATAGTCTCCTGCGACTCTCCCCTCTGCCACAGCTCATTGTGCTAGGCCTGTGGAGGTCCAGAGCCTGAGAGATACAACCCGGCTCTGGGGGAATGGACGCTCCAGGGACCAGTCTTCTCCCAGAGCCTGGCGGACAGACACTACCCTGCCCTGCCAGCTGAGGGCCCTTCCAGTCCACCAGGCCATTCCCTCCCGCCTTCAGGGAGTTCCAGAAGCGGAAGAAGGTTGGAGAAGAGCAGATTCAGGCCAGTGGATCAGTGGGCATTCAGCGCACCCAATGATAAGGAACTGAGTGGCAGGGTCTCTGCCCTTTTCCTCAGTGGCCTGCCATCTCTCTTATGGAATTGGAGCCATGGTGTTGAACAAGTGGGGAACAAGTACTTCTCCACCCCCCACCCCCCGGGAACAGATAGTAAAGTTGGGGAGAGAAGAGAGCTTTCCTGGGTGCAGTTCAGGGCTGGCGGGGCTTGGGAGGGGGAGGTAGCACTAAGCCAGGCACCCAGGATGGAGCCCGCCCAGGAGCCCCTGCCTTTAGGGAAGGCAGCTCTGCACTCACCGGGGACAGCAGTGGAAGAGGCTATAGGTAGGGTGGCTCCTTCGGCTGCCAGATCTAGCCTGACAGCAAGGGGATTTATTGGCCAGGAGCTCCACCCCTTGCTCCAGACTCAGACCCCAGTGACGTCTTGAAAAAGTGTGTGCGTATGTGTGTGTGTGTGTGGGGGGGGCAGCTGGCCACCAGTTCTCTTCCCACAGCATCCACTGTCCTCACCAGACAGATGCTCCCTCCCCTCTTTCCCAGGGGCTGGAGTCACTGGGCTCCCACTCTAGGCTGGCTAGGGCCCTTGTCTTCCCACTTCCCAGGCTGCACCCACTAACTCCTATCCTTGAGACCTAGGAAGCCCTCACACCCACCCCAGACCCCAAGAGGAAATTGTGGCCTGGTGGTGGGGGACAGTGCATGGGGATTCCGACTCTCACCTAGCTCAGTGTTTCTCCCAGTGGAAACGTGGGGTCCTAAATGTGGGGAGGCCAGGCACCTGTTCAGGGGCCTGGGGAGACTGTGCCCATCCTCCCTGAGAGCTTCTGCTTGCTCACTTGTAAATCAGGCTGCATGGCTTCTTTCTCCTTCACAGCAGCCTGTGACCAGGATTAGCTGAGGGGGCAGTGCATCCTCCCTGGGGCTACCAGCAGGGGGCAACTTCACCCCTCAAGGTTCTGACGGCTCCCCACCCTGCGTTCAGCTTGGACACAGCCCGCCCTGGGTACTTGCAATGGGTGCCCCAGTCCTGGTCTGCGTCAGCAGCATAGCTCTCCACAGCTGGGTGCCGGCCTCGGGGGGTCAGAGGTCTGTTTACAGGGTTAATAGCCTATCTCTGTACTAGGGCTGGACACACAACAAATGTGAGAGCCACGGTCAGGCCTGGCATTGTGGTGACCAGTCATTGCGACAATGGGTGCGTCAAATCCTGCAGCGAAGATGTGGCAGGGTGAGGGGGCAGGAAAAGGCATAAAAGCCACTGCAGTCAGTGCTGGGCACCTGCAAATTTCCCCACAGACCTCTTAGCAGGGACCTGAGACAAATGTGGGGATTGCATGTTCCGTTTAACTGTTTAGGGATATAGACACATTGTTGCCAGGGTGAGTTTTAGGAAAACACTTACTTTGTGGTTTAGTAAAAATGACCCTGAGTTCAATAAACTAGCTTCGTTCTGGGTTGGATTTACAGAATGCTTATTCAAAGTGTTTATTTAAAAAAAAAAAAAAAAAAAAAGAATGAGGTGCCTTAATTCTTTCTGTAAATTTTTTTTTTGTTTTTGTTTTTGTTTTTTTCCCCTGAAAAATCTAAACCAGGGACCAGCAGTTAGCATAATGGCTATGTCGCTGGACTCCCATGTAGTTGACAGTGGTTCGCATCCCGGACCCGGTGGCTTAAAACTCACGCTGGGTGCGTGTGCGTGCGTGCCCAAGATCCCGAGAGGAGAACGGAGGAGAAGGGATTGTGGCGTGGCCATTCCCCCTGGGGGGTGATTTCTCGCTTTCTGTCTCTCTGTCTCTGTCTGGCGAGCGCACGCACCCTATAGCAAAAACCTCTCAAAAAAAAAAAAAAAATCTAAACCAGAACTAAGCATTCCAGGCAAAGCCCTAGTCCTTCTCTTTCTGGTAACATACTCAGCTTTTCAGGAACTTGTGATGTTCCTTCCAAATCCAAATTCACCCCCAAATCCCTCTCAGCACAGCAAAGATTTGCTCCCCATGGAGCTCCAGCTAATGTTCTGAGGATACAAAAGCATTCCAGCTGCGATGCTCCTGGTCAGTTGGGAGAGTTGAGGTTAGACCTGAGTACCCTCAGGGTTGTCAAGTACAGGGGGCTCCACACCTGGGTAGGTGGCCCAGCACAAAGGAGGAAAACGGAATGGTAGCACTGGGTGGGCCAGCATGGAGCGACACGGACAGGGCCAACAGAGGAGCTGTGGGTGTTCCTGTGGGGCTGCAGCATGGCAGGGTGGAGAACACTAGAGGAAAACCATGGACTCCTGCAAGCCTGAGTGGACCCCAAGGAACAGGTGGCCCCAGGTGTGGGGAGCTGAGACAGTTGCCTCTGGATCACCCTGGTAGTCTGTTCAGCAGCACTGGGGCAGGAGGAGAGCTAAGGGTCACAGCACATAGGCCCAAGAGGAAGGAGATCGTGGGAGGGTGGCTGATGGGTAAGGAGAAAAGTCAGGAGTTGCTAACACCAAGGGGAGCCAGTGGGCAGAGCACGATGTGTCGCAGGCCATCTTGGTAAGGACAAGCATGGTCAAAGACTGTGTGTGAGGGGGTCAAGGTGGTTGCGCGGTGGTAAAACTCAATGCTCAGAGATGCTGGCTCACCTGGGAAAGTTCTGGGTTTGCATCTAGAGACCTCCCTGAGTATGCCAAGTGTGCACGTGCCATGATCTGGGGCTGGCTCACACCCTCGGGGGTGCTGTTTCTCTATTGCTCTGCTATGGAAGAAACTTTAAAAAGAGAATGTGGGTGTGAAATGAAGCGAGGAAGGGGAAGAGTGAGCACTTTTTCAAGAAGTTTGCCATAAAGGGGAAAGTTAGGCTTGTGAAAAATGACTCATCTCTTCAAAACAACAAACAAAAAATCAAAGAGACTTAGGAAGGAGTGATAGACACTGAACAGCAGGAAGGAGCTTTTCAGTTTTGATAAAGTGATCTCTGGAAATGGCAGGACCCAGAGCTTGGGTGTTTGGTGGACACTGGCTGTCACTCTTCCTCTTTGGAGAAATCCCCCCACCACTATAAGCCCCCAGGGTCTCAGTTGACTGGCTGTGGAATGGGCCCTGGAGGAGTGGCCACGCTGCCCTTCCTACACAATTGTGTGGTGTGAGTCCCAGTACATTTTGTTTTGGTCTATACTCATTTCAACTGGCTTTGTGTCTCTTGCAACCATGTAATTAAGCCCTGAGTAAAAAAGTAAGAAAGGGGACCAGCAGTTGGCATAATGGCTATGTTGCTGGACTCCCATGTAGTTGACCGCGGTTCAAGTCCCAGACCCGGTGGCTTAAACTCATGCCAGGCGTGTGTGCATGTATGCCCAAGATCCCGAGAGAAAAATGGAGGAGAGGGGATTGTGGCATGGCCATGCCCCCCGGGGAATGATTTCTTGCTGTCTCTGTCTCTGTTTGTCTTTCTGGTGAGCGCATGAGCCCTATAGCAAAAACTTCTCCAAAAAAAAAAAAAAAGAAAGAAAGAAAGAAAGAAAGAAAGTGGGGCCAGGAGGTGGTATAGTAGTTAAGGCTCGGGGCGCCCGGCGGAAGCCGCGCGGGGCGCGGGAGCTCATGCCCCCGGAGCG